TAGGAAGAATGTATGCAATGTGTTAATTATTGAAACTGTCCTACCAATTTGATTTGAAACTGTCTCATTGCTATATGTTTATCAATAAAATTATGGGGGAAAAAATAAAAATAAAAATAAAAATAAAAAAGCTGCAGCTTCAAATACTGGCCAAGACTTCTGCTGAGTTAGGTCTCTAGCTCCTGACATAAGGCATACTGGGAGGACTTCCCTGGGCATCGTCCGCCAGAGCACGAGGAGCACTGTGGGAGACAAGATCAAAAGCAGAGTAGCAAAGATCACTGGAAAGTGTCAACCAGCAAAATGACCTTTTGTGCCCACATGCCATGTATTCACTCAGACTCTGTTGGATATACACGTGCACAAATCAAGCCATTTCCCAATTAAATTTAAAACGTAGGAGGCAGAAACAAGTTCATCATAAAGAAAGCTAAACTGTGGTCTACAGGAAGACGCAACTTGCATGACATAAAGCGCACAGATCAAAACAAGGACACTGAAGTTACTGTGACCACCCAGGCCACTTAAAGGACTGCTGGGACCTACACTGATCTCTGCACAACTGAGAGATTGTGGTGAGCGAAATTTTTTTAAATATCACAAAGTTATTTGCTTGCTTATATAGAGATTGATACATTTTTAAAATATTACCTAGTTAGCTGAGGTAATGCTGAAATATTAAATAGGAATTTTTAAATATATATTCACAAATTAATTTCAAAAAATTTCTGGCTAATCATTCTCTATATTGGGAAGAAGCAGACTAGTGGTTATGAGTTAGACACAGACATTTGCTCCAGATCTGCCAGCTAGAAACTCTGTAACTACTCATTTCAGTTTTGCATTATAACAAATTACTTGTCCTCCGAGGCTTGATTTCCTTAGATGGAAAGTGGTGATTTTAATGGTATGTACATGTTTATAGACTGAAGATTACATAAGATCTGCCCGTAAAGTCTTTTGTCTACGAAAATCACAGGAAATGCTAAACACATGGCACATACTGCAAACTTCCATTTTCAAAATAACGGCAATCAGATCACCACTTACAAGCAGCTACTGGACTCAAATTCCACAGTTCTACTAAACAATACACTCTTTTCAAACTCACATGTCAACCCTTCTGTTTCAGGGAGTCGGGTGCTTCTCTGTACTAGGAGCAAATGATTAGAAGGCATTAGGAACATGTACTGAAAATACAGAAAAAATCAGAAACACAAAATATACTTGGGAATATTTTTATTTTCATCAATTGTTTTACAGAGTATTTTGAACTTAAATCAGAAAGATCACCAGCTCTCATTTTGCTCAGGAAAGACACACAACCCAGCACTCAAATTCTAGCAATGACCTAACTGGCTTGTGGTTGAATGACAGTCCAGGAAACAACAAGACTCTGTCCTTATTGATGTCCTAAAGAAGCAAACAAGCTGCCTCGACTTACCCGGAAATAGTCGCTGCATGCTGCTAGGACTGCCTTGTGAGCATGGAATTTCTGTTCCTCAGCAATCAGGGTGACATCGCAGAGAATGCCGTCACTTCTCTGCTGATTCAGGGCAGCCAGGACACTGTCATTGTGAGATTCCGAGTGGCAGAGCCTCTGTCCTGTCAGCATTTCTTGAATGCTACAAAGGAGAGCGATTGAGTGAGTGAACTTATTTAGCTGATTGATTATACTGCGGCTGAGCCCAGGGTCTCTGCTCTGAGCTCCATCCAATGGTTTTGGTTTTTTTACTTTTGAGACAGGGCCTCACCAAGCTCTAAGCCAGCCCGGGCTGGGCTGCAGGGCTCGCCTTCTCGCTCGCACCAGCCTTGCTTCCTGGAGGTTCTCAGAGCTTTGGCTTCTAGCACACCTGGAGTTTAACCTTTGAGTTTGCACAGTATTTTCCTCTGCTACTTTGTGGTTTTGTTTTTTTCAGAGTTTTCCCCCTTGCTCTGACCAGGTCTCTTTCTCTCTGACTAGGTGGTACGGTTTGAGTCTAATTGTCCCCTCAAAGCCTCATGCAGTCATGGAGCACCTTGGCTTTTACAGTTTGTGATTAACTCATGATCTACTGGGATTATGGGTGTGAGTGCTGCTGGGATTATGGGTGTGAGTGCTGCTGGGATTATGGGTGTGAGTACTGCACCCAGCCTGAGGCGGACAGCCTGAATGCAACTGAAGGGAGACAGACTTGCTCTCTGTAGCCACAGTTGCCCCTGCTCCTGCCCCTTTGCCACTACCATGAACTGCTGCCCTTTGCCATGTGCCACTCTGCCTTGGAGTCTGCTGAGTATGGACCAAAACCCCCAGTAACTGTGAGCTCAAAAAACCTTTCCTTCCTTCATTTTGAATGCCAGGTATTTGTCCCAGCAACAAAAGGAGAGTAACTGAGACACTAGAGTCTCCGAGTTTGTATTTGTGCCCATCAGGGTCTTGCTAGGACCTACGTGACTGCCGCTAGACCCCTATCCTCAGTACAGGTGCATCTTTCAGAGTAAAATCTGTTGTGTTTGTGTGAGAGAGAGGGACAGGGAAAGAGTCTGATCACTTTATGAGTCCCGCTCTTTAACTCTGTTTTCTCCAGTTTTGATCCTTACTAGATCTTCCTACAGAACAAGATATCCCATTAATGAATAAGAGAAAACTGAACAAATGATGGGGGAAAGAACTGCAAATGAAATTATGTATCAGAAGGAGGACATCAAAAGAAATGCCTTCGCAAGTTCAAAATTTAAAGTTGGAAGTGATCTATGTAGATCATATTATCAGCTTTAGATGTCACAATGTGATCATTATAGATTGCTAGGTTCATGAGACTGCTAAACCTATCCACCGTGACACTTAGTCCTTTATTGTTTGTCTTGCCCTTATATTGTCCTTTCAAAACTCTTAGATGAAAATCCAAGATTTCCTAGAATGTAAAGCGAGAGCTATGGACAATTCCAGTTCAGATCAACCAACTTTTCAACATGCTTTACGGTCTCAGCAAAGGTACTGGACTGAGTTAAGCGAGGTATGCCAGTAGGAAGTTACTTTGAGAAGAAAAAAGGGCTATCAAGCCCTGTCTCTGGACAGCTGGCTTTTCTCAAAGCTGAGTGAAGGTAACCCCCAGAGAGGCGCACACACTGGTCACTCCTGCATCCACCCCCTCTGAGCGTGGAGGAGTTGCTCAAGGGCACCGGTGGTGCCGCCAGCCTTGTTCGCATGGAGGGTTCAACTGGGTCTGCCTGACCGATGGGATTTGATTGGTAAATCAGTTAAGCAAAAGTCATCATCTTAAAAATTAATCAAATGCTTCTCAAAAAATGATAGAGTGAAGTTAGTTAAGTTTTATTGGACATTTTTGACGGGGATGCAGCAGAAATATCAGAACTAAGGAAAGAAAAGAACTTGACAGGAGGTGGTAACATAGGAAGCTGTCATAGGAAGGTGGGAGGATTATTTTCAGGTGGAATGTGACAGTGAGTTTCAAAATGGTTATTGTCACTGATGTTTATCTAGTGGCTGTGGCTATCAAAAGATTTTTAAAATAAGTACTGGAATATCATTGGATACATAATACTTTTTTTCTAAATTTCTAGTGAAGCCTAGAATAGACATTAATTAGGATCACTCAAAGAAATGAACTGAATAATAAAGAATATATTATCTATGCATAAATCTTTCCTAAAAGGAAGATATTTTATATACTTAGCAAACACATAGTGCTTACCATGTTCAATTATTAATTCATTTAATCTTCTTAATAACCCCAAGAGGCAGGTGCCTTTGTTATCTATGTTATACATAAGAAAACTGAAGCACTTTGAAAATATAACATCAGAAATACAGTAAAATAATTCCTCTGTTGCTTGGAAAAAAGATAATCTGTAAAGAAGATCTCTAAATTATGTTTAAGGGGACAAAAACCCATGACTATTGATTTTATGTTTATAATCATGTATAATTAATCTCAAAAATCAGTCCTACAGAATAATATACATGAGCATAATGAAATGATTACAATAAGAAACTGCCTGAAATCATGGTCCAAAATATTTGTTACACTGCAATTAAAAGTTTCAGAATATTATAGATTTTTGATTGTAACCTTAGAAAATAAACTTCACACTTTCATATTTTTTTCTCCTCTTTCATCACCTTAAATGCTAAATAAAAGAATTTTGAAATTTCATTTGTAACAGAGCAGAAGAGTATATTAAAATAATTGCCTTCAAGTGTTTCCTTACTCATGTTCCAAATATAGTGCCACAATTCACATCCTTATCATTAAGCCTTAGTATCTGCATTTCAATTATCTCTTGGGAGTGAATAAGCCTTGCCAGGAAAAGAGCAGCTGTAAACTGAAATTTGGCAAAGAATAAAGGGCTCATTTTAAAAACAATAGTGATGCTACACAATTTCACAAGATTTTCAGCACGGTTTGAAATATTCAAGCTCAAAGAAAGTAGCATGCTAAATATTTATGATAGCACTTGGCACAAAATCCTAAATATTTTGAAACCAGTATGTTAGGATTCCTTAAAAACAGAAACAAATGCGCCAAGATTTGGCAAGAAATAAAGGCCTATGAATCAACAAGTGATTATTGTATTCAAAAATTAAAAGTGACTTCTTCGACTCTCAGATGTAACTCTGCACCAGACTTCAGCCCTCTGAACGAGAAGGTACGCTGGCCACAGCACACACCTCAGGGGTGACACGTCTAGAATGATCATAAGCCAGGGAGAAAAGAATCAACGACTACAGGGTGTCTCCGTTTAAGGAGCACAGAGACACGCACTCATGATCAGCTCCCCTGGCATCTGTAACATCCATCAAATTCACAAATAATACCTCCCAATCCAGAGGAGTTCCTATCACTACTTGGAAAACAAAAAAGAAAAGCCACATATTTTAAAAGTTCCTAAATTATTGAGAAAACATACGAAAGGCATACGAAGTCACACCGCCCAATACAGGAGCTGCAAGCGTGGGTGGCTTTTAGCACACCAAACCCGAAGCACACCAAACCAAGATGCACCGTGAGCATCAGCTGCATGCTGGGTGGCAAAGGCAGTATGAAAACAAAATATCACATGAATATTTTTATATTGATTATATGTTTAAATATACTACGTCTGACAGTTGGGGTTATATAAAATATACTGTTAAAATTAACTCGACCTGTTTTTGTTTTAATATGGCTGCTTTAAATTATGTATGCTTTCCATTCTGCTTCTATTGGGAATCTGCAACTTACCGGGGAAATATGTATCTTTCTATTCTTTTCACCTGGACCCTGTATGGAAGGGCTTCAGGTGACCTCAATCATGGACTGGAATCCTGCATCTCAAAGGGCCAAGCCTAACCCCAGCACACTCATGGGCAGCCCGAGTCCCCAGGCAGCAGATTGCTTTTCAGTAATGCCAGGGAGTAACCACTTGATGAGCCATATGTCAGCATCCAGCGATGGGGAGATTAATGAACAAGGTCTCTGCAAATAGGAGTATTCATGACTCTGAGCCTGTAACTCTCATTCTGGAACTGATGGTGCAAACTAATAAATCAAATGCAGAACATAATGTTCATAACAGTGTACACCCTCCTAATAGCGGGCCACTGTTTAGGTGCAAATTGCTACTCTGACTTCTGAGAGTTAACATTTTTGACCACAGAAATCCCACAGGGTCTGATTTTCACAGAATAAAATCTGGGGTTTTTGGTTTTTTGGTTTTTGGTGTTGTTTTTTTTTCCCCCAGGGGAAAGCACACACACAGTCCCCCTCTCAAATTATGCAGCTGAGTTTCCCACATTGGGGAAATCGCAGGGGCCAGGCCAGCACCTCCAGAGCGCAATGCATGAGCCTCGGCCTGGAAAACCCACCTTCGTGCTCACAGCCTCTCCACTGCCAGGGAAGTGCATGCAGAAGAGAATTTGGCTGAGCTCAGTTTTCAGGATGTAAATCCTAGATGACATTATGGTTTTAAATGTACACATTTCTAATTCTAAAACTTAAGTGAATTTCCGTATCATTGTTTACCTAATACTCAGATATACAAAAAATACATGAGTATTTTCAACTTAAGCTACCAATAAAGCATTGCATTCCTTCTTACCAAGAAGCACAAAAATCCTCACTTCTTAAACAGACTACACTAAAAAGAAAAAGAATGGGCAAAATTCTGAAGGATAACACAATTACGCCTGATTATCCTAATTCAGCCTATTGATTATCAAACATCCCAATCACTTCAGTAACATAGTCAAATATATTATAAAACTTAAATTCATGTAAGTATATGAATATTAAAAGAATTCTATTTCATTACATGGGAAGGCTGTCAGACAATATTATAATGCGACTATTTTATACAACACTTTACATTTTACAAAGTCTTTAAATTGAATGCTAAGTTAATAGTAAGGGGCAGAATAATAAGCAAAATAGATAACACTTGAATGATTCAGAAATAATGAAGACTATTCAGAAGAGAACATAATTATAAATGAATGATTTTGTAGCCTTCTTTCCCTAATTTATTCACCCAACATATAATTATTCAGCCTTATCGTGTAGGACGGTACTGGGATAAAACTGTGCAAAGCAGATGTGGTCTTAATCCTGTGGAACATTCAGTTGAGCACAGTAGTTACTCATTAATCAAGTAATCTGGCTTCCCTGAAGAAGTAACACTTCAGATACAGGCTAACAAATAAGCTAGCCTGGTACAAAGAGGAAAGAAGCTTCTCTGGCACGGGAACAGGGAAAACTCTGACCCTGCAGCAGAAGGGGGCACCCCCTGACAAACTGCCTACAGAAGGTTAACGGCCAGAGCCCTGTGGACAAGGGAGAGCCTGCCTGGTCCAGGAGACACCTGAGCAGCAGATGCTGCAGCCCATCCATGGAGAACATCATGGAAGGTTATCCCAGAGCCGTGGAAGTCCCAGGAAATATCATCTAGGCCACAGTACCAAGAGCAGTCAGAGGAACAGTGCTATACCAGAGGAGTTCTGGGACAGTGGCTAAGGCTGAGGTACAGACTTTGGCCTTGAAATGGACTACGGGGATAGAATTCCTGAGAGATGAATGAATCTAACAATCAGAGAAGTCTAGAGGTCTTGGTGGTGATTATTTATGGAGTTGGGTGGCAACAAGGCTCCCACCAAGATACCCACATTTCAGGTTTGTGTAACTTGGTATTCTCAGAAGTGGGGACTAGTGCAATAGCATGAAAATTGCAGAGGAGAAAGCTGATAAATTCAGCTTGACATGTTAGGTTTACATTGTCTTTAAGACTGAAGAGCAGAGGTCAAATATGTAGTCTGATTCATGGATCTGGAACTCAGAAAGAAGTCTTAGCTAGAGATATATAAATATACAACTAATATATAAATCTATAAATAAGACTAATATGCAGAGTGGATAAAAGAAGCACACCTGTGTCTCAAGAATACATTGAGAGATGGCCAACAGTGGTTGCTGAGAAGATAAGAAAGATGGCATTTAAAGCACAGAAGCAAAACTTGGCTTAGTTGTGGGAAAGGGCCGGCCTTTAAGTAGAACTGAACAGGCAGACTAGAACACACTGAAACTTTAAACTTTTTTTTTTTTTTGGCTTAATGAATCTAAAGATTTTTGTGAACTAGTCTTCACTAGACAATGTAGGCATATAAATTTGGATAGCTGAGTTCATCTGGATTAGGGTTTTCTCAAGAAAATGTATCAAAAATACCCAAAATTGGGCTGGGGATATAGCTCAATGACATAAGTACATGCCTGGCAAGCACAAGGGTCCAAGTTAGATCCCTGGTACCATAAAAAAACCAAAAAACAACAACAACAAAAAAAAAAAAAACAGGTATTAGAGAAATGAAGAAAGGGTGCAACAAGTGATAGAATTTAAGTGGTCAAGAATGAAAATGAGAAAAGGAAATTTTTGATGGTTTGGTAGAAAATAGCAGGGCTAGCAGATCAGACATGGAGAAAGGTTCAAGTCCAGCCCTCGTGGGGACAGCCAAATGGCCGAAAAGAAGGAGAGGAAGGTGTGGTAAGAGTAAAGCCGTGCATGTGAAGACCTCAGAAATAGAGCAATGGCTGATGATGACAAGGTTCCAGGTGTGACCACGGGAGTGCATGGCTAAGTAGAACTAGAGGTCTTTAGGGATAAATGAGTGGAGGGTCTGAAGGTCATGAAGCAAGTCAGATATTTTCTGATGCTAAAAGCCCAGAGAAGTTGTAAAAGGTTGTCATGGGGAGGGAAACTGCAAGCCAGGCACCAAGGTACTCAGTGAGTGAGGGGAGATGAGTTTAATCACAGCTAAAACGAGAGGGGAGAAGAAAAAGAGAACTACCTGCGGAAGAGCAGGTCTCGCTGCAGCTTTCTCAAACAACCTAAGCCGTAAAGACCCATGAAAACAGTTATGTCCCAGAACACAACAACCCAACAGGGATCAGTAGAGACACCTACCCCTGAAACACATGAGATGTGAGGACATAATGTCACCACATGAGAGGGCTACAAGAGAAGTGGTGCTCAGGGCAGGAGGGGTCCCAGTGAAGTTGGCTTGTGGGAGATGACACAGAAGAGCACTGGGCCATGTTGCCGCACTCCAAGTGGTGTGCTAAAATACTGAGAGGTGGAGAAGGGGGAATTCTGGGTTAAGGTGGATCAGGGGAGATCGCTGTGGAGATGATCACACTGAGGAGAACCTATGACAGTAGGACATGGATAGCAGAAATGGTGGCCATGCCTATTGTCCCAGCACCCAGGAGGCTGAGGTGGGAGGATCTCTGCAAGTTTGAGGCCAACCTGGACTACACAGCAAGACCTTGTCTCAACCTCTCACCCAAAAGACAGAAATGATACACTGAGAATATAAAAAAAAGTTACTCTGAATGAACACTGTTCTTGGTAGCCAGGAATAAGTCATTTGGCTGAGGCAGTGCCAGACAGATACCACAGTTCCCATGTGCTGTATTTGCTGAACACTGGTTCTACAGCAGTTTTGCATCCTCAGAACTATGAACACTCTGAGCCGGGTTGTTTTTTGCTGCAGGGAGCTGTCCTATGCATTTAATATGTTAAGCAGGATACCTGGCCCCTGGCCACTACTCCAGGTGACAAACCAATAGTTGCCAACAGCTCACTGCCCACAGAACCAGTGATGGAGAGCACCTCACTCACACGGCTACTGCAGAGGTGCTACACGTACTGTAGGTGGACCACCATGTCTGGAGCCAGTTTTGGAACACATAAGCTCTAACAGTTTCAAATGCACGGGAAAAACTGGTCTCACCAGTTAATAAATGTACCCAATTCTCAGCACTGAACAAATGCATCCCCAAGTTTATCACATCTCATATCTTCTGCTCTGAAGAACAGATGAAGATTTGCTGACACTGATGAAAATACTCAAATTTGACGTTGTACATTTTCTGGCACTGCGCCCCTCTACAGATGGAATGCGCCAGGCTCTGTGCTGCCATGAGCATGTCCCCACGTCACGGCATCCCTCAGATATTAGGTTACAAGACATTTCCTCGGGATCTCATTTCCCTGCTGTATTTATCCTGTACTTCGCCTTCAGAGCACCTCTCACAATTACATTTGTGTCGTTACTGGTATGACTGTCTTGTATCTACTTCTCCTAAGGAATACCTACTTGATGAAGACGGAAACCCTATGTTTTATTAACAACTGAGTCCTATTGCATTGAGTAGAGTGCTTGGCTCAGTAAGTATTTATTAAATGAATGAACCACTAAAAGAAAATGCTATTGGGATTTTGAGAATAAGCTTTGTACTACCTAGATGATTTCTCTAAAAGGAACACTATTCATGTATGTATAGTTTTCTGATTTCTATTTTAATTGTATACCTTTGCAGTAATACATCTTTTGTTCAAGACCAATAAACATCTCAAACAAGCAAAAAAAGAAAAGTAAGTACTGTGAAACTTCTCTAGATTTGATCAAGAACTAGATTTTAGCTGTCAGCCTTCATGCCACCACACCGAAATCATAAAGTGCAATTTATTCCTTTATTCCTTCAAAGATGCATTCATCCCTACTCTGCTTGGTCCTGCAATGTGCAGTGTGACTAGTTCAAGGCTCACAACATGTCAAGCCAGAACTCTTCCCCCGGGTGTACCTGAGACAGCGTTCAGATGGCATTCTCCAGCTGGGGTCCTCGGGCTCTCAGTCTCAGAAGTGTACAGGGCGATCAGCAAGCATTCCAGCTGCTTAAAAAAAGATAAGACAGAAGAACATTATGAGCTGAAGGAAAAAAAAAGGCACAAATGATGCTAAAGTTTTAGAATGCAAAAGAGACAGGCGGGAGTTTTGTTGTAGAGATTGAACATTCAAATATCATCTTCTTTCAACATGCAATGATTCTAGGTGTTTTTCAATTTTATTGTTAGCGAATCAGGAACTCAGAAGTATAACATGTTTAAGAATCAACAATAGCTAATTAAATTGAAGTAAAAAATAAAAGATGAGATGGCCAAAGGGAAAAATAAAGATTTGATAAAACTATAAGATACAAGGCACGAATACTAACAGACTTGTCCTACATCGAGATTTTACTTTCCTTCCAAACATGATGAGGAAAATCAAATTACAATCGAGTACCTCTTTGACTAATTTTCTATAGAAAGATGATTTTCTATTCAAAACAGATCTCCAAAAACTAGATGGAAAAAAGAAGGATGAAAATTAGTAGGAAATGAAAATTGGATTCTGTCAGAGTTCAGGATTAGCATAACTGAAATACACACTGGGTTGTCATTGTCAGGCTTGAAACTGCTCTTTGCTAAATGCACTTAGTCACTCTGCCCTGCTCCCAACTCCCGCCTTGTTCTTAATCACTGATGTAACTTGGAACAGAAAAAAGAAATCATCTGAGCAGTCTGGGACCCGGCCCCCAATTATACCTCCCACTAGAGCGTCCAGCTCTCATTTTCTAATACTCCTAAGTAGCAAAATTAACTACAATCTGAATAAGCTAACAAGGCTCTCTTCTGTGTCTGTTTTACTTTCAAAAAGGAGAACAGTGTGAAATGCTTATGAAAGAAATGCACTAAACTCTGCCTATTTCTGTTGATTTGTATTAAGAAGAGAACTATGATTTGCAAGTCTGAATAAAAAGTAATATTTGTTATTGTGTATACAAAGTTTTAATTGGTATGATTATATAATTAGCTCATGTACTACATCATAATTTAGTTAAAAATTCCATTGTTGTTGAGTACTAGGTTGTTCCAATAATTTTGGTATAACTTTATCTTTTAGTTTTTTAAAATTATTGAATATGGACTAGCAATACTTTCACTTATTTCTAATGTAAATTTTGACAAACTGAAAAGTGAATGTCATTTCTAATCATTCCATTATGACTGAGCAACATAGGCGACCAGAATAATTCTATCCACATTGTTTAATTAGCGAAGAAACTTGCCTAGCAACCTGTTGTTGCTACAGTTTCTTTTCAGAATCTGGGTTGCAAACTCTGGGCTGATTTAGCATTGACACTAACTGAAAAGGACACCTTCACATTCAAATTGCAAAGAACACCTTTTTATTACAAGGATGTGAAAAGTTTTAATCTTTCTGACAGTTCAATGTTTTTAGAATACTCTCAATGATCAGATGACTAGAGAATAAGAAGTTCAAAAATTAAAGTAATTCACAACTAAAGGCTACATCTAACACAATTTTTCAAAAATGTATTTATTTGATATGTGATCTCACTACACAGCTTGAACTCAGACTCATAGTGATCCTCCCATCTCTAATCTCAGTGCTGGGATTACAGACGCGTACCACCATGCCCAGTTTTGGTGGCCAGCTCAGTGCACCCGGGGTTTTGGAGCTGGCACAGCATGCAGTACTAGGGGGTGAACCGGGGTTCTTGTACTTGCCAGGCAGGTGCTTAGACTGTTGAGCTATCTCCCTAGCCCTAAAATGATATTTTGCAGATATTTTAAACATAATCACTGCGTCATAGAATTCTCTTCTATAGCTGATTATTATTTGGAGACCAACTAACTGAAATAGCTTCTCTTAAAAGCCATCTAACTATGTTACATCCTATGAAGTTTAGTGAAATGGACATCATTTTTAGGAAGAGTCAAAATAAGAGAAGGAGGGGCTGGGGAGATGGCTCAGTGGAATAAGTGCTTCCCTGGCAAGCGCAAGGGCCTAAGTTCAATCCCCAGTTCCGCAAAAAAAAAAAAAAAAGGAAGGATGTCGCACAACACACTAAATTTTCTTGCTATTTATGCTATTCTATTTTTATACCTATTATTTACTAAACATATTTTTTAATTTTAAACTAAAATTAAATTTGTGAGCAAATACAGTTTTTATGAGCAGTCTCCATGATGGCGAGCACAGCATCCTGCAGGGGCAGGACCTGTGTTCCCACCACTGCCTCCAGTCCTGAAGCGTACATCCTGACCCAAGCCTCCTAACACTGTGGAAGCTCCGGGACCTTCAGGCCATGCTCCTGTCTTTCTCCTTCTCAGAGTCCATAAGTGGGGCTACAGCTGGGCCCATGTGGTGGACAATAGGCTCCAAGGAGGCATGAAGTCAGGTTGGCGTTGCTCCCCAGGACCACAGCTCTCAGCGACGCAGCCCCTTGGAGCACAAGCCCTGCAGGGCTGCTAGGTAGGGCAGGAGCATAGGTGGCCGCTCCGTCTATGTGAATTGAGCGTGGTCAGCCTGTGGGTCTCCTTGAATGAAGGCCATGAACAGGCATCCGAACCCACTGGGAGATCAAAGATTCTGTCTTTCACCCTGCTCTAGTCAGGCTCCTCTGCGTTCTGTGTTCAAGTACGCCTTGTCCTTCAGTATCTTCAAGAGCTTTTGGTCAACTAATGAATAAATGCAATTATTGTTTTGCTGAGCAGAGAATGTGCATTAATACCACTTACTAAAATTAATTAATCAATTTATTAATTTATTTATGGTACCAGAAATCGAACTCAGGACCTTATACTTGCCATATCCCCAGCAACATCACTAGAATTTAAAGGCAACAAATATAGTTAAGAAAAGCATGTTGAATTTCCTAGTACCATTCAATCAGCTACTTGGCTCAATGATTTTAGGAACAAAGGAAAAGACCTTCCCTGCATCTCAACAGCTGTAGGGAAAAGGCAAAGATAGGCAGCACTATAGGCTAGGGCAGAACACAGCCCCTCAGACGTACACTCTTTTGACCTAAAGCCCCCTGAGAATGAGAAGGTGTGGCAAAAGCTCTAGTAACTAAGCAGCAAGCTTTCCTTTGGCAAAGGAAAGTACCACTTGCAAAAGGCTGATAGGTCACAGGGCCTCAAGAAACACTTATGTGCATCCTCTTTTCCTATTATATATACATATATGAATTACACAGGAATTTGTTCAGATGATAAATATATAAGTGAATTGTTACTTTTGTTTTACATGGTTAATTTGGTAATCTTACTACACCACAGTAGTATGAAAGGAGGGCAAAAAGAAAATAGGCTGCACGTCTTCAGGCTTATAATGGTACAATTTATAAGTTATAAAAGCTAAATTGTGGAAGCAGCCTGAATGTATAGCGACAGATGAATGGATAAAGCAAAGGTGGCGCTCACAATGAAGCACTACTCTGATATAAAGAAAGATAAATGAGTCACTTGCAGGAACATGGATGCCCCTCGAGTCCATAGCGCTAAGTGAAGGGCATCAGCAAACAAGCCTACACACCAGATGGGTTCTCTCAAAGAGAAGCCCACTATATAAATCAAGTGTGAAATTAGAGACTGTGGGAAAGAGATGGATTGTTCTGGCTCATGGAAGGGAAACAAGAAATGGGAGAAAGAGGGACAGAGGGGAAAGAAATGGGATTATAAAAGGGGGGCCTGTGAAGTGCTGTGTACATGCGCCAAGTCCTTATGAGGAACGTGATCATCATGTATCACAAATATGAATTTGAAAAATACAAACTATGAAGGAGTTTTGCGTCCAAGAGATACAAGCAGCAGAAATGGACAGAGTTAAATAGGTATGAAGACTGGCCACTCAGGGAAGAGACTGGCTATTGGCAGTGTTGCTCCTGACCTCGTCGTGTGTGGTTTGTGGAGCTGGCATTTGCAGCTGCGAAGGGTTTAGCGAGATGTCTCACACTATTTTTTTGGTGCAGCCTACCAAGAGGCCCGAAGGCAGAACTTACACTGACTATGAATCTGTTAATGAATGCATGGAAGGTGTTTTTAAAATGTATGGAGAACATCTGAAGAGGTTGAACCCCAACAGCCCCTCTGTCACACACGATATCAGTCAGTTGTTTGATTTGATTGATGATCTGGCAGACCTCAGTTGCCTTGCTTACGGAGGTGATGCCCAGACATACCAGCCTTGTAATAAAGACTGGATCAAAGAGAAGACCTACGTGCTCCTTCATGGGCAAGTGCAACAGGATGGCAAACAACTGAGTTGCAAACAGTAGGGGCTGGGAGCAGGCTGGGCTGGGTGCGGGCTGGGAGCGCAGGCATGTGCAGTGCCTGGCCGTGGGGTGCTGTCCTGTGAGCCTCTTTCCATTTGTTACACTCTAGCCAGGACTGAATGCACTAGATGAAATGCAAGGTGTGAGGATCTTCTCCATCTGAAACCCCCATTGAGCCCTTTTTCTTTTCCTTCTTTTTTTTTTTTTTTTTTTTACTTAAACATTTTCATGATTCAGAAGGCAGCTGTTCCTTGTCAATGTTGGTTCCAGTCCTTCAGATTGTTTCTATCTGCTTTATAACATTCACTGTACTAATCTTTTAAGATGGGATAGGGGATGATGACAAAGTTTAGTTATGTCCTCAAGAAAAAGTCTTGGTGAAAATAAATGTTTAGTTAAAAAAAAAAAA